GGAGGCAGAGCAGGCGGGGAGGTTGGGGTCGAAGCGGAGCCCCGGCCGAGGGCAGCAGGAAGGGCTGGAGCCGGGCTGGAGCCTTCCCTTGCATGGCCTGGGGAGATAAACCGCGAGGGCTGGGAGAGCCCCAGTTAACTTTGCTTAAATAGAGCTTTTGCAGAGAAAAGCTGTTTTATTATTGCTTCTACCCAGGAAATATCTTGTTAATCCTCTCGGTTTTACTCAGGCATGTTTTCTATTGAAATTATATTAACTTATTAATTAATCCAGTCAGGTGTTTGGGGTTTTTTTTAGCAGTACTTTGAACTGGGCTATCTCTAATGGTAAATAAACAGCACACTGTGGGGACTGGAGTTATGTCCACGTTGGATATGTGAGAAGGAATCTCTGCTCTTGCTTATTTTTCAGATTTTACTGAGATGATGAGGGCACTGGGGTATCCCCGACTCATATCTATGGAGAATTTCCATAGCCCAAACTTTATGCTTGTTTCCGAAGTGCTCCTCTGGCTGGTGAAAAGGTGGGTGATGAGGCTGGGAAATGGTGGGGCTGCTGCTGGGATGTGACATGTACTCTTGGAGCTGATGTTTTGGTGTGAAACGGAGTGTCCTGGTTTTTAGCTGAGGCTTCTTTAGTAAGTAACACTTCACTTTTTAATGGTAAAATAACAGAGCAATTAAAAGAAAACAAAAATAGTTTTAAAAATAAGTTTCCTTTAATGAATCTGAACACTTTTAAAAGCTTAAACTTGTGTGTTATAAGATTATTAGGAACCTCATGCCTACTGGTGAAGTGCTTCACTTCCAGACCAAATGGCAGGTGAACACTGGCACCCATTTCTGTTGTGGGTCAGAATTCCAGGTGACACAGGCCGACAGCTTTTCCAGCTTCTAGGAGCCTTTTAATGACACTTAAAAGCAGAGAGGCTATTTTGCATGTGCCTTGCTCATAATTTTAAATATGATTTGAAAGCGAAGGTGCTTTTTTGCCTGAATGCTGAAAATCTCAAAGCCTTTTATAAGCCTGGGAATTTACTTTTTTTCTTCCCTAGTTCCTGTAGGCTGGTGACTGCTGAAAGTTTCTGCTTTTCACTAGTGGTTTTTTAAAGCATTTCACACTCTCAATTTGCTCTTTCATAAGTTTTGTTTAGTTTGGAAAGTTATATGTTTGAAATGATGCTTGATTGTGAACTTTTCTTGTGTATTTTGAGAGTGTGGAAAAGTATCATAAGATTTTAAAGTAGAAGGTGGCTGGTTTGGTTATTGCCAACAACAGTCATCTAGTACAACTCACTTTAACATACCACTGGGAAGACTGGGAGCACTAACTCAGTGGTATGCCTGGTGTTTTAAATTGTGAAGCCACACGTGATTGAGTTTGATTTGTATAAGCAGCTTGTGATTTAAGTAGTAAATTACTTCTGAAAAGAAGTATTTTGCAGACTTGATGGAGCCAGTTAAATTTTGCTCCTTTGTGAAAAAGGAGAGACATACTCAGGACCCTGCAGTAACAATTCTTTCTGGAGAAGTGTCTCAGGTTTTACAACTTTTGCAGTTTGTGCACAAACCCATTGGGATCTGGATACCCTAGTCTGCACTAGGAGCCAAAAATTTATCTTCCACTCTCGTACATGCTTGTTTAGTTTGATTTTTGCCTCACAAATGAACCAGTCTCTTTAATATTGCACATGTATTTCCAGTCTGAATCTATGCACGCTTCTTTCCACAGGTATGAACCTCAGACTGACATTCCTCCTGATGTGGAGACAGAACAGGACCGGGTTTTCTTCATTAAGGCAGTGGCTCAGTTTATGGTGAGTCTGCCTAAGGAGTTGTGCTGAAGCACACTGAGATACCAGATCCACGTTACCTTTATCACCTTCTCTCTTAACCCCTTACAATTTCCTTGCAAAGGTGGCTCAGTATCTTTTGTGTTCTTGTGCTGTATTGTATGTCTTGTGCTGTTATAAACTTGAACAGGCCAGGGCATGCTGGTACTGAAATCATGCAGAGTTATGGACATCTCTTTGCAGAATTGGGATCTAAACATCTGACACTAAAACCATATTCATATTTATTTATTCAGATTTATAAAAAAGTAACAGTGAAATACATAACTGTAGACAGGAAATTTTTTGAAGCCTTTTAAGTGCATTCAGAAGCGATCCTGTCATATTTATTGCTGACTTTGGATGCCTGATTCTTTCGTATGTTTGAATAGTCATAACTTCTGATGTTTTCTTTATCGTATCGAATCATATGTTGGTATTCAGTTGTATGAGCCTTCTCACTGAGGAGATCCAGCCATAGTTTTCTCAGATCAAATCTTTTATCACATTATGCATGAGCCATCGGGCCAGCAACTTTTTTAGTCTTGTGGAGTAAAATAACATAGTCCTTCCTATCATTCTTGTCATTTTCATAGAATCATAGAATGGTTTGGGTTGGAAGGGACCTTAAAGCTCATCCAGTCCCAACCCCCCTGCCAGCAGCAGGGACACCTTCCACTAGACCAGGTTGCTCAAAGCCTCATCCAACCTGGCCAATTTTAATGCAGCATGAGCCTTTGCTGTTACAACACACTTGCATAGCGCTCTTAATCAGGTGGAAAAAAACTTCCTGGGGCTGTGGGTGGGTTTGGAAGCAATGGAAGTCTCTATACTAATACCAAAGATTAATTTCTTATAATAGTTTTTTTTAATTTTTAAAATATATTAAAATGACTTTCTAACCAAGCCAGCTTTTCCCTTCTGATTTGTGATTATGTCCACCATAAGTTTTCTTAATTCTTAATTTTACTATGTTCAGAGGGTGGTAGATACACTTCTGCATGCATACCAGAGCAAACTTTTGAGCCCTGGAGCATCATAAGATGTAGTGAACAGATCTATTTTGTTTGGAGGGACTTCCCTTCTCCTCCAAATCAAGCATGTTTGAAAAGGACAAGTATGGAAGCAGGAATTATGTTATGCATACATTTTCCTTTTAATAGCTGATTTCCTATAAGAAATCCCAAGGGTTTTGCAGAATTACATAATATGATTCTGAAAATGAAATGAATGGAAATTTCTTTAATCATCCTGTATTTAGTTTCAGTTAATATTACAAGATAAGAAAGGGATTATTGTACATTTTCAGCATTTTCAGAATGAGAACAGCTTGTAGACATTTCCTTATGTCCGTGGAATCCACAGTTATCTTCTCTAGTAGCCGATACCTTCATGCACCCATAGCAGGACATGAGATTTGATGGAGACAGATTTGCCTCAGAAGAGAATATCGGGATAGATTAATCATCATGAAATGTAACCAGAGTATTGCTCTCCTTTACTGAACCAAGAGTACAGGGGTATTAATTTTTTATGCAAATTGTAGTTTGAGAACTTACCAAATATCTCATTTTCAGACCCCAAAATTCCTGAAGCATCTGCAGGGTTGTCTTGTGTGGGGTTTTTTTAGTCATTTGCCCACCTAGAACTGTGGCTCAATACTTCACTCCTACTTGAGCCTACTTTGATCCAAATTTGAGGTAGAATACAACAAAAAGTCTCTGATGATTTTAATCTCCTAGAAATGCATTCATGAAAACAGATTTAGCCAGGCAAGTTACCAAACGTTTTGCAATAGGCAGATATACTTGTTTTTTAAACAGTGATGGGAGAAGCAGTTGATGTGATCTCTGCTAATAATCTTCCTGAGTGCTTTCCGGGAAGAATCGTGTTCAATTCCCATTTCAGCCTGTGGAGATTTAAAGCCACTACTTCAGTACCCAGGAGACTATCCTAAGTATGAAACGAGACAGGGAGATGAGAGCAATCCTCATTCTTCCTGTCCAGAATGTGCCATTGTCTAGGAAAGAATGGAAACTGTTTGGGCTGGACTGGCCACGACAGACCATGACTCTGCAAGCGAGTGGCTGGAGCACACAGCTGGGAGTCCTGGTTGTTCCCTGGGCTGTGTTTGTTTCCATCACACTGTCAATATTTGGCCCTGTGATGATGATAATAAAGCAGATTTTAAAGTAAAGCAAACTTTCTGGCTGTTGATGCCATTCTTGCAGTATATTTCTATTTCTCTTTTCTATTACATGCTAATAATCTGATCTTCCCAATAGAGGGAGGTGATTTTTAATGATGCTTTAAAACTATTTAGAGTTGTTATAAAATAGGTGACTGTCTCAAGCTTTCCAAACACGAAATGACCTTCTTGAGCAAGCAGTGCCATTATGCCAATCTGAAAAATATATGTACTTGTCTGTGTATTTTTTTCCTCTTTTTAAGTAGTCTTTGAATGATTTTTTTTTCCCCTTTTACTAGACATTGATTTTTCTCTCTTGGAGTTGAACGGAAATTGAATTGGAATCCTTGTCTTTACAGCATCCTTCATGATGTGGTGCATTAGTCTTTGTGTAGAGGATGTTTAACGGATTCTGTCAATTTAATGACCCTCTTCTCTTAAAATTTAATACCTACTGTTTCTACAATTAGTTTTTTTAGATTCCTTCTACTGAAAGGGAAGGAACAAGAACATGTCTGGCTTTCCACTTTGTGTATTGGCTCATTTGAGGTCATGCTGGTCAAAATTTTCAAAGTGATTACAGTTTTTGTACCATAAAGTCTCGTATTGCTCCGGCTCGGGGTGTACAACAGCAGTAACCTGTCTGACTTCACTTTTCAGCTGAGTTCTTGCTGGCAGGAAGCAGATGTAGAGTCGGTTTCCTCTGCTGGATTGAGATTTTTGGGGTGAGAGAGGCAAGAAGTAAACATTTCTTGGAAATGGAAATCTGATGGTAAAGTCACGAAGTTTGACAAGATGCATGTGAAGAAACATGGGCCAAGAACTATTTGCTTTGTTTTCTTCGTTCTTTGAAAAGCTGGAGCGCAATCCATGAATCACAGAATCACAGAATGTTGGGGATTGGAAGGGACCTCAAAAGATCATCCAGTCCAACCCCCCTGCCAGAGCAGGAACCTCAATGAGATCACACAGGAAGGTGTCCAGGCAGGTCTTTAATATCTCCAGAGAAGGAGACTCCACACCCTCCACAACCACAAACCATCTCAATGGTTTGAGATGTGGTTATTTCTCTCTTTAATTTCATAGGAAATTAAAATTAATTAAAATTAATTAAAATTAATTAATTAATTAAAATTAATTTCATAGGAAATTAAAGTCAATTATTCAGTGAAGCTCAGTGCAAAGTGGGCAAGACTTGTGCTGACCATTTTAATGTTGGAGTCTTTTACCCTGGACTGAAGGTTTTGCACTGTCAGTGTGAATTGCTTACAGTAACAGTGTCATACCAAAGCTGTGTACACCCCAAGTGAATCGTGGATAGATTCTTTCTGCCCCCCAGTATTCCCAAAGGATAAACATTATAGCAGAAGTTTCATCTTAAAAAGATACTGAAAATAAACTGTTAAGTCATTTGGATGCTGAGTTTTTGTATTCACAACCAGTGATCAATTTTTGTTTCCTTGCTTGTTTAGTCGTTGCCATCAGGAAGACTGCCTCAAAGTTTTATGTGAAGTTTGGCATTGGCTCCTTGTAGCTATTAATTTATAATATAATCTTAGCAGGAATTTCAAGAACAACATTTCTGTCCTTTCTGTGACAGATGTATCATTTCTATTATGCTTTTTTCCCCTCCCTTCATTATTATGAAGTATAAAAAGATAATGTTATAATTTTTAATTGTTTTTTTTCCTTAGGAATCTGTCTGTACTTTTCAGAGATGGAAGACAAGGGAATAAAATCACTAATATCATAGCAGGGAAAAATTTGAGAAGAACAATAAAATATTCTGAAGATACTGCTGGAAGAGACGACAGTTAAATTAGGATAATTGATCTTACTCTTGTAACTCATTAAGGGTGAAATTTACCTCCCTGCAGCATCATCACAAGACCTGGGCAGCACTTACGTTCCACTTAAACTTAATTTGAATTTAAGTGGTGCACAGGGTTTTTGCTGATCTTCATGCAGGGAAGAATTAATGGATAGTTTGAGGTTTTTTTCATTCTGGCAATTATCTGCAAATGTTCTGACATGCAGAAAGTGCACATGTTTCAGAAAAAAATTGTCCTAGAAACATCAGTAATGTGATGAGGCAAACTTGTGTTTCCAAACAGGCAGGTTTATTTCTGTAAAGCAGAGCATGGTGCCTCCAAAAAGAGCTTTTGAGTGAAGTGTGAAGAGGTAAATGAGGATTTTGTTCTCTCTGACATGATGATTTGGTTCTCTCTTCCCAAAGGCAACCAAAGCTCACATAAAGCTCAACACAAAGAAGCTTTACCAGGCAGATGGCTATGCAGTGAAGGAACTGCTGAAGGTCACCTCTGTGCTTTATGGTGCTACGAATACCAAGGGAGTGGAACGTGCGGCCGTGAGTGAGGAGGACAGCAGCAAGTTCAAGTTTGATCTTGGCTCCAAAGTAAGGAACACTCGTACTCTTGTTCTGGGCAAGGGTTTTGTGGTAGCTTGTGGGAAAACAAATCCATTTTCTATCTGAAACTTAGGTAGAGAATGGTCGTGCAAGGGAGTGGGGATGGTTTGAACTCATACTTTCTGTAGTTGAGTTATATGCTAGGATTTGGTTTAATCTCTGTGAATTCTCAACCAGAAACATAATACAAAGCAACAATGGCAACAAAATTGGTTTGAACTACTGTTGAAATCATAGAAATATTGGAGTAGGCCGGAATAAAGATTATTTTCTCTCTAATAACCTTGTTGCAATAGGAGGAGTTTACAAAATACTGACTGAAAGTTGGTTTTTAGCCTGTTTGAATTGAAAGAAAGGGAAATCTTCATGTTACCCTAAGAGACATAAAAGCTGTTCAAGCCCTTAAAATAAACACCTTCTCTGAAAAAAAAAAAAAAACCCAATACTGTTAAATAGGAGGAATTCCTGTTACTGCTTTTTGTTAGTTTTTTATATTCTTATATTTTTAGGCTTTGATTTTTTTATGGCTGTACTATGTCATGCCTGCTTGGTAGACAATAATACTATCATTCTTGAAAAACAGCAGAACCACAGATGATTTTTCTTCTGTGTAGAAGATTTTTCTTCTGGTGTGTCTCTCTGAAGAAAGCACCTGAAGAAATAAGGAAAAAACACTTGTAGATGATTAATATTCATTGCCTATGCAAGTGGTATATCAGCTTTTTACTTTTGCATATGAAAAAGGTGATGGTTTCCTTTGCCCTGGGCAGCACATGAACCAACAACTGGCCTTTGAGAAGGCTTTTTTGTTGACCTAAAGTGGCTGGGGTTTCCCCCAGAAGCCTGTGTCTAAATGGTGCCTCACCCAGACTATTTTAAAGCCAAGAGACAGGCTCACTCTGATTCCAGTGGACAATGTCTTCTGTGCTATAGTAGAGTTTTGGCTGCTGTGCTGACCTCCTGTGCAATTTGAATATTAAAATGGGAAAAATCTGTTGTGGATTTTCTTTGTGTTATTTGGGATCCTTTTTTTTGCTATTCAGTGCTGTTGCTGTGTTTCCAGATTGCTGACTTGAAGGCAGCTAGACAGCTTGCTTCCGAAATCACCTCCAAAGGAGCAAGTCTGTATGACTTACTTGGCAAAGAAGTTGAACTGAGGGTAAGTACACACTGGAGAGGGTATGAGAACTTGTGTTCACTGGGTGCTGCAAAGGAAAAAGGTGAAAAAATGATCACTGGTTCTTCTTAACAGCTGCATCTTAAATATTCTGTGAGTCTGAAGGAATGGGTCTGAAAGTTTCCCTTTCCCTCCCACTCGTATGGGGGATTGCAGTAAGCCTGAGAGAACAGTTGGGCATTTGCTCTTCGGCAGGAAACTGAAATACTCTCTGTAGAACTGTTTGGAAATACTGACTTTCTATGCATGTTTTCGTGGTAGGGATAGATACATTCTGAAAGATAAATGATTAATGCTCTTAGCTTTCCAACTGCAAGGCTCATTGTTTCTGTTACAGTTACGGAAGGCCTCGCAAGGCTGCAGGGTACATCTTCTTCAGCTCAGTTGTAAAATCACAAGCTGCTGCGTGAAGTCACGGGAGTGTCCTGAAACACTGCCAATAAATCTTTCAGTTATTTTCTTTAATGCATTTATCTGCATTGCTGGAGGTTATTCATCTTCTGAAAACAGACATTTAAAGAAGGGAAACCCTGAATGTTTTAGTACTGCTTTTGCTAATCTTCAGATTTGCGATATCTGAGCTGTAGGAAGCGCACCCTGTAGAAGCAGTAGACTCTGTGCAGTGACAATTAACGCTCCTAGATCCTTGTTTGGTGGAGTACGAGTGTTTCAAAGGGGAGGTGAGGCACAGGGAGGGTTACCTGGGGAACACTGCCCTTTCTGCTAGGTGTGTAATCAGCATGGTATGCAGCAGTGTGAAAGGCAATCATCTTTTAAAAGGGAGAGAGAAGTGATGAGCCAGTTTAATTCAATATACATGATTGTCACAAAACCGTTCATCACTCACTACTCATCTTGCATTTTTTTGTTTAATTTCCTGGCTTTGAAGTAGTTTTGACAGGAATGCTGCCTAACGTGTTGATAGTTGCTTCAGAGCATGAAACCCTTTTTTCTGTGTACAGCATCCACTAAAAAGTCAAGTATAGGTCAGTATAAGGCAATGGTTTTAAAAAGTACTCAAGCATGGGTTTGAAATTGGGCATTGTTTAATCACTTTAAATCAAGGCTTTTAGGAGTCCAACTGACTTTAGAACTGGGCCCCTGAAAAGGGACTTGCACAAGTGCAGAGTGCTGAAAGCATGAAGTGAAAACTCAAGAGGTGAGTAAGTGCTTCAGTGCAGCCACTTCTCATTGGGCCCATTGAGAAATCTTCAACGAAAGACTAAAGGAGCAATTTCTAAAAGGACAGAATTTCTTATATCCTGTAGTGAGCAGGTGTTTCTTGTGGCTTAATGACCAAGTGCATGAGATGGGGCTAACTAATCTCATATAGACCCACAGTTTATATTTTGCAAAAAGGTTTGACAGATTGAGCTTGTTGTCTTTTAAGAAATCCTGTCTTAGGAAAGATGACCTTTGCTTCTGTCTCATTAGCTCTGAGTTTATATCCTAAAAGCTCAAGGTGACACTGTGACAGCACAGTGAGAACCTCCAGAGAGCAGGAGAAGAGACTTTCATGCTCTGTTCCTTACGATTTGTGACTGGTTCCAGCCTTCTTCTGTGATTTTTAAGAACCCATTTTGGGCTTGTGTGTTAAATGCCAAGTTTGGCGCATAAGCCTGCGACAAGTTTCAGACTTGAGCCTGTAGCAAAGCAAATGGGTTTCAGGGTAAAAACCATGAGGTTGCAGCAACCAGTTGTTAGTGGAATTTGTCAAGTTTTCCTTTTTTAATTATAAGCACCCAACTCTGCCTTTCACTTGGAGGACAAAATTTGCTCATCAAATGAGAGAGAGGCTTAGAGCCAGATGCTGCTGTTTTCTCCCATCTGATGATGTTTAGGGAAGTCAGTGGAGCTGCAGTTCTTTCTAAGTAGCCAGTGTTGAGGGAATTACCCCTTCTTCATTTCACACCATCTTCCCTGGATCCTTCACAGCCTTGGTGAGGTCACAGGCATGGCACCCTCTGCCTGCCCTTCCCACCCACTTCCAGGTGGGCAGAAGTAGAAGTGCTGTTTGTTCTGACTTCGTATGGGGAATTAGAGCTTTGTCTGTAGGTATCAAATGAGTTGTCATTAATCTAAGGTTCCTTTTATTATTTTTTAATGTGAAGATTATTGATTTCCATTGCTTATTTTCTTTAGATGTTGCATGGCTGAGCCATGCACACAATAAATTGCACTGGCAGAGGGATTGCACTGTTAAAGGGTGGCAGGAGAGCACTATGGTTTATTTTTTCATTACATTTTATGTCCTGAAACCTGTTGCATGTACTAAAATGCATCGACAGCTGGTAGTTTTATGTTCCCTGAACCTCTTTTCCCCTCCCCCACCCCAATACATCCATTTCCAAATATTTAAATGAAAGCTCTTACTCTCTAGGCTTAGTTAAACTGATGATATATCTTGTTTCTATCCTAAGTGAAGACTGCTTCATTTTCCAGCAGCTGTGAAAGACATGCCAGCATTTGGCACTAATGGGTTGACTAGAGCTGTTCTCCCAGTCTGAGCAGCTTTTGGGGAAAGATCATTGGCAAAAAGCAAACTAAAACTCATTATTTCCTGTAGAAATGTTGAATCTAATTTGTGTCACAACCTTTACTTTCTTTCTCGGAGTCCTTTTTGCACATAATTTGTATAGAAACTGTAGAAAAGCCTTATACTTTAGATATAACTTACTGTTTCGAGTCATGGAACAATTTTTAAAGTAAATTACTTTCTGAATGAAAACAAATTTCAGGTAGAGAAGAGTTTATTAAGGGAATGCTTCTGTTAGATGTATTGTAGATACACAGTGATCTAAATACCCAGGTGTATTTATTGGGAAGAGTTTGAGTCTGTATTTGCTTTTTTGGATATGTGGTACTGTGCCTTTCTGATGCCTTTGTAAATACGTTATTTCCTGATTGAATATGTAGTTCTTATGTATATGTAAGCTACTTTCAAATTTAATCTGTAATGTAAAAAGCCCTTTAATTTAAGAACATCAGAAGAAACAAAACCTGTGGGTTTTCATTTGTTGAATTCAGACTATGATGCTGTTAAGATTTAGGGGGAGGGAGGGAAATCCCAAAAGCTATACTTAATCTCCTCAGATGAAAATCACAAATGTAATTTTTGGTTCAAAAAAGAAATCAGATTTTGTATTTGAAAAAGAGGAGGCATGCATTTCCTGATGAATAATCCTAAAGCAGCAGAAAGCTTAAGGGTAAAGAGAAGCCATTTGTTTCCAGCCCTGCAGACAGGTCCAGGGGTTTCCTTTCCCACTCTCAGCAGATCCCAGCTTCACAGAATCACACACAGAATCACAGGATGT